TTTTTTTTTTTTGAGAGGGAGAGTAATGATCATTAGTTGATTAATGTTTGTCTAGAATTTTTTTTACAAAAGTTCAAGAAAGTAAGTTTAACAAGCTTTTAACTTGTCAAGCACATTCTAGCCTAACTTATTCTTTCATCATCATTCATCACTAATAAGAATGGATTACAAAAAGTCTCAAAGTAAACAGTAAACACCCATATATATATAATTTTCCTTTTCTCTTACACAAGGACAAGTTCTTGTGTAAATGGAGAACTAGGATATGTGCTCATAATACATTACCATTGCTCATATGAAAGCAATACAAGCATCTAACTATATAGTACAGAGAGTGATTGCTACTAAAGAATGGGGTGTGACTACAATTTATACGAACAATCCATCACCTTGGAAGTATGCTGCATCTTATTGATGGCTTTTTGATCATATACTCCTAACCACTTTTGGATGAGTTGAAATACTTTCTCATCGGCTAGAAGTTTACGGTGGGTAGCACAAACTCCGACTCGCTCAACCGCATCTAACTTGTCTGCCTGCAAGAATGCAAGGTTCGTGTTATACCTTGGGTTTTATGGAATTGTGTTAAATATTATATTTACAAAACTAAATTAAATTTTAAATTACAACTCGTCACTGCAAAATTATATGATCGGAATAGAAAGATTAGCGATAGAGTGAGATGATACCGTACCATTGCTGACTCTGAAGGGACGGTTCCATCACCATCTACATAAGTGTATTCAGGCTGAAATCCACATAAACATATACTATAGTTGGTAAAGTGAAGAAAATTATATATGCGTGAAATTTACAAGCCAAGCATGGAAATAAATGCACTACAAATATAGGCAGATGTAAGGTGAATAAGATAACAGAAATAATGTAGCAAGAGAACAAGATAATGAGATGAATAAGAGAGTTTTGCTTTCTTACCATCGTGTGACATATTTCAGATAGTTCATCAATCGGCTTAGACTCTGAACCATAGCTGACAAAAAGGTGAGAGGGTTTTAAGCAGACGTAAATATTTGACAACACATTCAGTTCTTATGTTAAAGCGCATGCATGTTTGAAGAAGTCAGCTTCGTTTAGGGAGTGTTTGCTGCAAAAAAATAATTTCATCAAGGAAAACTGATTTATTTTAAAAGAATTCTAAAATGAAAAGTAGTTGACAAGTCAAGTTTTTATAGAAGTAGGAGTGGACACCTTAAAAGCACAAGAAAAACTTTTCCTACACAAAAACAGACGAGCACTTTATTTGAATGCTTGCAGACAATTTCCAAGTGAATGTAAGAATTAAATTTTAACCAAACAGATAGTTCCACTCACCAAACATCAAAAGGTGTTTCAAAAGATGTTCCGTATATGTTATAAAAAGAAACTCCATTTGGAAGTTGGGTTTTATTCAGAACTTCCCGTGTGCCAGCAGCCCAATTAAGGATCGCAAAGTTGAATGGAAGTCCTACAGTTTTCCCATCATAATTTAGCTGCAATAAGAAAAGAAAGATTACTATGCATGATAGCCTCATACAAGGTTGAGGTTCAATATGAATATAGGCAAGAAGGTGATCAAAACATTTTTAAATGACTCGGCTAACAAAAAATGTTAATAATAATAAGGGAAAAAAACACTGGATGATTTAGTTCTCTCAGATGCATATGAGAGAGAGAAAGAGATGTGTTGAGCACTGAATTTGCTCAAAAGCGTGATGAATCGTGAATAACAGAAGAAAATGGACTTGGTTTATCAACTAATTACTAATAAAGACTGTCCACGATAGAACATAGATTTTTAATTATATTATTTTCTTAAAAATGGAACAAAAAGGAGTACCTCGTTGTTTTTTAATGCCTCCTCGAAAAGTGTGATGCATCCATTGGTGTCATATGAGACCAGTTCAACTGAAGCTTCTTCATCCTCACAATGCTTTCTCCATACTTGAACCTGAGGTTGCTTTTTCCAGTTGAAGTTGGGGTTTGGTAACATCTCGTAAACAGATGGGCACTCCACCAGCTGAAAATAAGCCAAGTGAGTAAACAATTAGATAAATAAATAAAAAGCCAGGAAAAATTTACTCTGCTCGGAAGCTATTTTTAATATAGAGAAGCATTAATCACATAAACTAGTCAATCAAGATTTAGCTCAATTACCCTAGAAAAAGGACTATCTTGCACAAATAAAACGGTCAGTATATTTTACTCTGCTCGGAAGCTATTTGTTGAACAAATACTATCCTCAGGCTCAGAGGGGGGGTTGTAATATTTACTCCAACACTTAAAAATAAAATAAGAATAAATAATATATTTCATATATATTAAGAAAAATGCAGCGAGTAGATTACCAGTTGATGCATTGACCACCGAGATACAAAAAAGAAACTTTCAAATCCATCAACAAACTGCAACCCGGTGAGTATAGAATCATTGATGCATCCTGGTGCACCTGTTGAGAAAATGTTTCTTAATCATATAGGAAAAGCTAACAAAATATTGAGATCAGTTTTCCAATCATCACAAGGCTCGGTAAAATCCTGATCCGCGGCCTTTTTCCAATTATCTATCCTCAAACATCTCAAAATGAATATAACTCTTTCAACAAATTTGAAGTACAAAGAGGGGGGAAAGAAAAAAGATAATAGAACACTGTTTATTAGATCATGTTTAGCACTAAAGTAAAAATGAATAGATAAATGAATATGCAAAAATTATGTGTGGCACTCAGACACAGGGCGCAAGCAAGTGCTACCTTGGAAGGGAGTGGCAATTGTAATCCACTTATTTACGTATGTGGAGAAAATCTGCGGTTACATTTTATATCACTAGTCAAGGCTCCACTCACAATTGCAAATAAGTTAAAAGTAAAGTTTAAAGCACTAAAAGGAATTTGGTTGGCCTAAATCTAACTAATGAGTGATCATACATTGCTATGAAGAGATATGAAACACGACACCAGCAATCCACCCATCGAGTGTGATATTATGTTAACTTTCCTTCCTCCTGAAGAATTATATGCAGCCACCAGTTTCTCTCTTAGGCCATCCAGTAGCTGATCTATTCTGCAACATACAAAGGAAATGACAAAATATTAGAAAAATAAAGGAGAAGCACGGACAAAAAAAAAATGGAATATATCATCATCACCATAATATACATCTATAATAACAAACAGAAAGATAAGGTATGATTGCTTCAGTTTAATGAAGAAACCTGATTACCTATTGCTTTGCCGAAAATCATAACCATAACCGAACAATGTTGTCCCTTTCTTATACCCACATCCAACAAGCATTTCAATCATATCATGAAAATGGTACAGGTCGCTCAAATGCAGAAGCTTTACAAGCTGACATCATGGAAAATTAAATTAGACACTTTGATACGGATGAATTTAAGACCAGACACAATCTTATAAACTAACTACCTAAATGGCTCAATTCAGAAGATGAACTACATGATGTATCGATTTTCCGTACAAAAAGAAAATACCCAATCAGAAAAAAACAGGGACAAAAACAAAAGAGGTCAGACACGATTACAATATAGAAGCCAAATTCAAAATAGAAAAACAGAACGAACTTAAGTACGTGCACTAGCACATGATAACTGAAGAACAGCTTACTAAAGAAGGGTCCAGAATGTCAATGGCGTAAAGCCCATAATCATCTTGAGGCACTACTATCTCGGTACTATCATCCAGTGACTCTGTATACCCTGACAAAGGGAAGGACAAAACAAAAATAGATGAAAAGTCGCCATGAACACTACAGTCAATGATGGAGTATTTGCAAAATCAGCAAGCAGTTTAGAATCAAAAGTTTGCAGCTTCCATATAGAAGCTAGAAATTCTTGAACTAAGTAAATCACAAACAAAAACCCACATAAGCAAACACTAACAAATATCGTCAATAATATTCATAAGTTATGATACACACAAGTGAATTATGAAGTGTTTGCCAAATCAGTAAGCATCGAGAATTAAAAATTTGCAGCTTTAGCATGTATAAAAGCTAGAAATTCTTGAACCAAGTGAATCGTAAACAAAAACCCACATAAGCAAACACTAAACATTGTCAAATTTTATGTTTTTTTTTTTTTTTCTCAAGATAAGATAAACTACTTTAAACCTCGAACAAATGTGAAGCTCAACAGAGGAAAACCCACGAATAAGCAAAAGAAAAGAGCAAAATAAAACCTGTGTCAGCATTATAAATGGACCAGAGCTTCTTCTTGAACACCAGGTCGGCCAACAGAATCCGAACCCAAACCCGGGTCTCGGACCCGGAACTCTTCTTCCTCGAATGGAGGATCGACCCGGCTATGCCCGACACCAGGAGAACCGGGTCGCGGTCGGCAACTTCTTCCGGGTCGGAGCCCCTGGGTTTGTTAAGGCAACAGCAGAGATAATCCATGAGCATTCTTCAGTCGGACCCGGGAGAGTTCGACCCGATTCTGGGTTTTTCTTGGGTTGTGCAGTTTTTGCAGTTGGAAGTAGTTGGGTGCTTTCTAGGTGCTGCTGCTCATAAACTCATCTACCTACCTACTTGTTAGCCCAAAGCTATTTGGAATCCCCAAAATCCATCTCAATTGGTGACTCGCTTGTTTGGATGCAACAAAATATATAATATTTTCCTAGGAGTATATTTTTTTAATAGAATTTTAAAAAATTTGGTATATTTGATTTAAATTTCTTTAGACTTTTTTTTTTTTTTTTTT